TTTTTTTTTTTTTTTACTTCCTCTTGTCTCTTTCTCTCTCATAGTATGTTCCTTTTGAACAGATGTGAGAAATCAAATGTCAAAGTTGTCACTCATCACTGAGTAGTCACGGTACCTGACTTCCCTTTGGTCCAGATGATCCTGAGTCACCCTGCAAATACAAGCGTAGGAGCACTGGCATTTAACAGTACTGAAACAAGGAATATTTTGAATAATACATTGAAGTGCAAAAGTGTACAGTACATACAAAAGACGCATTAACCAAAAATAGTTCCACACTTTCCTTCATTTTTTGTTTGAAAAATTGAGTATGCAGCCTATTGTGTTTCCCTACTTAAGAAACAGGATTTAAAGTGGAGGAGAAGTGGAGGTGAAGAGAAGAAAACAAAAGTTTTACAGCACTACTGAGAAAATAGGCCTTGAAAAAAAATGCGAGTGAGAATATGGAAGGACAACTTTAAAATTCTGGAATGGTTAATGTGATCTTGTTCATTAAATCAAGTGTATTATTCACATTATAGGGGTAGAAAGAGAGGGAAAAAAGACAAGAACCTGCAACGTTTAGTAAGACAGAATTTTGTGATGTCAATGTCATTTGTCACATTAAAGTCAGCATGAAATTAAAATTTCACCTTGTCTATTTTGTTAATGAATGTTATAGATCTTATTGTGAATTTAGCCCCAGATACAGATCCCCTGTAAAGACCTTGTCTCAGACGACCACCGGGACAAGACCACAGGAACCAGATGAGTCCTCTGCACAATGTGACTTTGCTGCAGCCTGGAATTGAACTGCTGGTTTCGTCTGGTCAGAGGAGAACTGGCCCCCCGACTGAGCCTGGTTTCTCCCAAGGTTTTATCTCCATTCTGTCACCGATGGAGTTTCGGTTCCTTGCCGCTGTCGCCTCTGGCTTGCTTAGTTGGGGACACTTCATTTCCAGCGATATCGTTGACTTGATTGCAAATGATTGCACAGATACTATTTAAACTGAACTGAGCTGGATGATGACATCACTGAATTGAATGATGAACTGTCTTTAACTGAAAAATGAGTGTTTACTATTGTCATTTTGAATTATTGACACACTATTTTCCTAATTAATGCTGTTCAGTTGCTTTGACACAATCTGTATTGTTAAAAGCGCTATATAAATAAAGGTGACTTGACTTGACTTGACTTCATCGATGTACGTGTTCATCATAATGGAATCTTCCGGTGAAAACCACAGACTTCTGGTGACAAAGTATGCAGACCTCTTCCAATGATTTATTGCAAATGCAACATCCACGTCTCAAATGCAAAGTCCCCACCCAACATTTTTTCTCGGATGTACCTCATAATACGGAATAAATGATTTGTTGCTACTTCCGTTTCATCACAATTTTAAAAATATGGTATTGATGAAAAAATAGAGCGTGACTTTCAGTCAAAATGACAGATAATATCTATTTGTAATGCAACCTTTTATTAAAGCAAGGCAGAATGTTAAAGCAAGGCAGATATTCATTCAGGTTAGGTTTGTCAGTGTTGAAGACGGACGTACCTTATAACCTTTAAACCCTGGTAGACCTCTAATGCCAGGGGGACCTTGAATTCCGTGCTCTCCATCTGAACCCTGTGGATGCATGCATGCACACACACCCTTATAAGACTCAGTATTTAGATTGTTCACTTGTGCAACATCACTATACTATGGGTCGTCGTGATTTTGCCAAGTAAGACATGTTCCTGGATCAACATCTTTTGTTGATCCAGGATCAACATTACTGTCCAAAAATATAGACTAAACCCAATCCCTACCCCTAAACCTAACCTTATCCATAATTTATTCCTAAAATCAGTGTGAAATGATAGCTGATTAACAAGGGTGTAGAAGCACCTAACCCTGATCGTAAGCCTAAAACAGATATTTCCTGAAAAGTTATCCCTCAATTCTGATTGGCTAATTGGAATGTTGTTCCAGGATCAACAAGGATGTTGATCCAGGAACATGTTGTACTTGGTGAACGGAGACATGCAGAAAACCTGCTGACCTCTAGAGAGTGCACTAGAGCATTTATTGACTTTAAGGAATCGGTTACTAGAAATACCGCTGTCTCCACCTGCTCTGTGTGCGAGAAGTGGCCAAATAAAATGGTTCTGCAGGAAAGAATGAGAAATGAGAACATTCAGCGGTTCACGGTCACCACAACCTCAAAAAATATGGAGGGGTGCATTAACTGTCATATTAATCACATGACACTAGACAGATGTCTGCCTAAAAGTTTCCATAGGGCAGCTCTCAGCATCTGGGCTTGGAAATGGGAAGAATCGTGTGCTTGCCAAAGCGTTACCCCAAAAGGGAATACTTACTATATGAACATACAGTATATATATCAAACTATGCCAAGGATATCTATATATTTACACTGAGGCCTAAACCACATCACTTCAAGTCATTAGCTGAAATAGGAATGAAAACAGACTTTAGAATGAAAACATAAACAATCTGAAGTCACTTTAAATTAGCTTTGGATTAAAACCATCTACCAACACTCCCCATGAAATACAACTGCAAGAAAAAAAAATTGGCCTATGTTCAAATCACTAACCAGAAGGATGAGCAAAGTGCAGAGGAGTTGTGTGACCAGTGGTGGTCGTCTTACAAAGCAGCTGCTAATAAAAGAACGCTGTTTCAGAAATCATAATCTCGTTCTTTAGAAGTGACACCCTTTCAACCACAATCATGAAGCTTTACATATCATCAGCTGTTTATTTTATGCTCTTCCTGCCCATCTCATATGCAAGATAGACATTTAGATGAGAACAAATACATTTGATCATCTATTGCATATTTTAGTTTAAAGAACACGCCGTGGCATCACAGTTCTTTCAACTAAAAGTAGCAGTTTCATGAATGAATTCATGCTAATCAATTCAGGAGATCATGCAAAGAATATTTTAAATATTTCACCAAAAAAGCAACTCATAAAAGCAACTTGGGTCAGCAAGCCTGGCCTTTCAAATTTAAAACCAGCTGGTAAAAAAGAGAAAGAACATTACGATTAGGAAAAATAATAAACCTAATGTAAAACAATATGTTTCTGTTAGCTTGATGACTTGGAGGGCTCCAGATGAGTCCGTCTCAGTTTCTGAGGCATTTTGAAATAAGTCTGACTACGGCCTTGTCTGTTGCGTTAAAGAAGCATTTCCCTTCCTCATAGTCAGAGTTGCAGTTCACATGTGCGTGACTGATGATAAAACACGACGACTTTAAAGAACATTTAGATCATAAACAGAGCTGATGTTGACTATATACATGTATCATCTGCTACTCTACATCTCAGTGATGTATTCTGGGATTAATAAACACTGTGGTTTCATCATTTCCAAATCTAGAGTTAGCAGCACACCACAAATCTGTGGGGCCCCCAGCAAACCATGTGACAGGGCCCCTTCTACCAGAAACATCATGCAATAAACTTTAAATAGTGCCCTTTCACTATGACACAGTCAGTCTCGTCACATAAATATGATTAAATGTGTCAGCATCATAAAATAACATTATTATTGTGCTAATGTGCTAATTAAAAAAGAGTTAGCAGCACACCACAAATCTGTGGGGCCCCCAGCAAACCATGTGACAGGGCCCCTTCTACCAGAAACATCATGCAATAAACTTTAAATAGTGCCCTTTCACTATGACACAGTCAGTCTCGTCACATAAATATGATTAAATGTGTCAGCATCATAAAATAACATTATTATTGTGCTAATGTGCTAATTAAAAAGTTTCAACCCGGTGAAGACCAGAAAGACCAGACAAAAATGTCGAAAGAGAGCCGACCTGTAAACTAGAGATGAAATAAGTCATGAAAATGACATGGAAGTGACTTCAAAGCAAAGATTCCAGAATGGAGTTCAACCGTAAACACTTCACAGAAAAGCAGTTGATAAATTCCTAAAAACCGAACTAGAATTGTATTGGTTCACGCAGATGTTTGATGCCTAATCAATCAAAATGAATGAACCATATTTTCAATGCAACTAAAGTTCTTCAACTAAACCTAATGAACTAAAACTGAGGTGACAAAAAGAATAAGGAACACATACACAAAAAAACAATAAGGACACATAAGATGATAAAATAAACTCACAGGGATTCCTGGTTGTCCATCTGAGCCTGCCACACCAACATCTCCTTTCTCTCCCTAAATAAAAACCAAAAGTGGTCAGAATCACATATTGCACCTCAGAATCAAAAGAAGAAAACTACACCCATCACACATTTACTGATTTCTGAGGATAGAGTTCACGCATATCACACATATTTTTAGAAATAGGGGAAATGTGGTAAGCTGCAGGTAAAGACTATCTCCTTGCCTTAAATAATCATGGTACATTTCACTAATTGCAGATATAATTAGAGTTTTGCAGTTCCAATTTGGGTTACATACTAATTACATCAAGAGAAATTAAGCATTGAGAAGTTAAATATGCACACATCTTAACTGTAAAGTAAGTATGAAATTTGAGACAGTCTGTCATTAAAATCTAAACATGTTACACCCAGCTGTAAAGATTTTTTTTGCACTTTCTGAAGAATTAAATTACAAGCCGTACACATGTGGGAATGTTGGTAAGAGATGTCCTTTTTTACAGAGATGCTGGGCTGTGGCTGACCATCATGTGAATTCAAAAATAGCATGTTTCTGGTTACATGTGCGTGTAATTTGTGTACGGTGAAACACACCTGTCAGAAAATATGTAGCAACCCACATTTTGCATGAGGCATGGGATATGTTCAGAAAAACACACTGCTGTACCACACTGCCATACAAAGGCAAACACTGTAACTACACATTTAGTCAAAATTAAATCTAAAATCATCTCTGTTAGACTATGATTTACAGATTTAGAGGGAAAAATGTGTGAACACTAATATTTAAATAAAGGGGGAAAAACATGCAATACATTTTTTGCCATTTCCATTAGTAGTTTTGGCTTTGTAGGGTAGCAGGTTAATATTATTTATGTACACATGCAGCATACTGTTCAAAGTATGTGCAAGTTTTCTTTGATTTTTTTATGCTAATTATAAAAATACTTTAAAATTATGTTTTCCGGTCATTCTGACCTGTAGAGGATTTTTTTCCCCCCATGAAAATGCCAATGTTATCATATTGGACTAAAACTTACTGACTTGGCTTACACAGGGTGTAACAACTTCCCAAAACAAATAAAAAAAAATAAAAAAACTTTTTCCCCATCTCAAAAAATTGCTTATTAATTTGTTATTATGCTATGTTATTGTGAATTATTGGATTCAATCTTTTTGTCAGCTTGTTTTATTTTAACTAGCACAGGTTTTGTATTTCTTTTTGGAACTGATTGATCGTAGGCCTCAGCTTGATGACTTGGAGGGCTCCAGATGAGTCCGTCTCAGTTTCTGAGGCATTTTGAAATAAGTCTGACTACGGCCTTGTCTGTTGCGTTAAAGAAGCATTTCCCTTCCTCATAGTCAGAGTTGCAGTTCACATGTGCGTGACTGATGATAAAACACGACGACTTTAAAGAACATTTAGATCATAAACAGAGCTGATGTTGACTATATACATGTATCATCTGCTACTCTACATCTCAGTGATGTATTCTGGGATTAATAAACACTGTGGTTTCATCATTTCCAAATCTAGAGTTAGCAGCACACCACAAATCTGTGGGGCCCCCAGCAAACCATGTGACAGGGCCCCTTCTACCAGAAACATCATGCAATAAACTTTAAATAGTGCCCTTTCACTATGACACAGTCAGTCTCGTCACATAAATATGATTAAATGTGTCAGCATCATAAAATAACATTATTATTGTGCTAATGTGCTAATTAAAATGTTTCAACCTGGTGAAGACCAGAAAGACCAGACAAAAATGTCGAAAGTGAGCCGACCTGTAAACTAGAGATGAAATAAGTCATGAAAATGACATGGAAGTGACTTCAAAGCAAAGATTCCAGAATGGAGTTCAACCGTAAACACTTCACAGAAAAGCAGTTGATAAATTCCTAAAAACCGAACTAGAATTGTATTGGTTCACGCAGATGTTTGATGCCTAATCAATCAAAATGAATGAACCATATTTTCAATGCAACTAAAGTTCTTCAACTAAACCTAATGAACTAAAACTGAGGTGACAAAAAGAATAAGGAACACATACACAAAAAAACAATAAGGACACATAAGATGATAAAATAAACTCACAGGGATTCCTGGTTGTCCATCTGAGCCTGCCACACCAACATCTCCTTTCTCTCCCTAAATAAAAACCAAAAGTGGTCAGAATCACATATTGCACCTCAGAATCAAAAGAAGAAAACTACACCCATCACACATTTACTGATTTCTGAGGATAGAGTTCACGCATATCACACATATTTTTAGAAATAGGGGAAATGTGGTAAGCTGCAGGTAAAGACTATCTCCTTGCCTTAAATAATCATGGTACATTTCACTAATTGCAGATATAATTAGAGTTTTGCAGTTCCAATTTGGGTTACATACTAATTACATCAAGAGAAATTAAGCATTGAGAAGTTAAATATGCACACATCTTAACTGTAAAGTAAGTATGAAATTTGAGACAGTCTGTCATTAAAATCTAAACATGTTACACCCAGCTGTAAAGAGAGCTTATCTAAAGTTTTTTTTGCACTTTCTGAAGAATTAAATTACAAGCCGTACACATGTGGGAATGTTGGTAAGAGATGTCCTTTTTTACAGAGATGCTGGGCTGTGGCTGACCATCATGTGAATTCAAAAATAGCATGTTTCTGGTTACATGTGCGTGTAATTTGTGTACGGTGAAACACACCTGTCAGAAAATATGTAGCAACCCACATTTTGCATGAGGCATGGGATATGTTCAGAAAAACACACTGCTGTACCACACTGCCATACAAAGGCAAACACTGTAACTACACATTTAGTCAAAATTAAATCTAAAATCATCTCTGTTAGACTATGATTTACAGATTTAGAGGGAAAAATGTGTGAACACTAATATTTAAATAAAGGGGGAAAAACATGCAATACATTTTTTGCCATTTCCATTAGTAGTTTTGGCTTTGTAGGGTAGCAGGTTAATATTATTTATGTACACATGCAGCATACTGTTCAAAGTATGTGCAAGTTTTCTTTGATTTTTTTATGCTAATTATAAAAATACTTTAAAATTATGTTTTCCGGTCATTCTGACCTGTAGAGGATTTTTTTCCCCCCATGAAAATGCCAATGTTATCATATTGGACTAAAACTTACTGACTTGGCTTACACAGGGTGTAACAACTTCCCAAAACAAATAAAAAAAAATAAAAAAACTTTTTCCCCATCTCAAAAAATTGCTTATTAATTTGTTATTATGCTATGTTATTGTGAATTATTGGATTCAATCTTTTTGTCAGCTTGTTTTATTTTAACTAGCACAGGTTTTGTATTTCTTTTTGGAACTGATTGATCGTAGGCCTCATTGATCTGAGCTTATGCACCTCAGTGTTTGAGTAAATATTACCAAAATTATCCACTAATTTTTTCACTCTAAAACTGAGGTGCATAAACTCAGATAAATGAGGCCCATGACTAACCACTTCCAAAAAAGAAATACAAAATCTGTGCTCACTGAAAGAAAAAAAAACAGACCAGGAACACCAAATTAGGCAAATTTTAGTGGATTAAAATAATAATAATAATGTGTTTTATTTCTGAGATTATACGATTTCTTTCTGAATTTAACATACAATGTAGTGAGGTCATGCGTTAAAGTAGTACAGTTCGAAACACTCATCAATGCATATTTTATGGCAATAAAGTTTTTAAACAAGCACTAGTATGTAGTGTGCAGTATGCTAACATTTCGTGAAATGTGCTTGCTTCGTTTTAATGTAAAATGCAAGGGCTGGTCTGTAAGACACATAACTAGTGCATTATAAAATATTCAGTCAAATACTGTTTATTTCCCAGGTGTTTTCTTACTGTATTTCTCTTGTTCATTCACTCAAATACATGCACATATAGACTTTACCCTGAAGCTCTGATATTTGGAAAGACCTCACACAAAGCATGCTTTCGAAACATGACAAACAATAATTGTACCTTGTACCGTCGCTCTGCAATTATATCCAGGAGAAGGCCAATTCAAAGGAATTCCACATAACTTTTATCTCTTTTAACCTTTTGGTGGCAGTTTTTGTGTGTGCACTGAACATTTGATGCAGGTGAAATGTAAGTAATGACCCATTTCGGTTCAAATAAACTCATAATCAACGTAGTCATGAGTTGTTCTTAGGTTCTGGGGTCTGCGTGTTTCAGTTTCTTTTAACAGTCCATATGCATGTATGTCTGCATGTCATGATTAAAGGCTGTTTCCAGGGTTGGCAGCACCACACGTGCTGCGGAAAACCCACCCTTACGAGGGAGCTCTCTTCTGGCACACCACATGAAACCGAGATTTGGTTAACTAATCATCCCTTAGTGGTCTGGGGAAACCTGGTGTTACCGCTACAGCGAGCAATTCTATCTCAGATCCAAAGTGGGAAGGCCGGGACTTAATAACGAAAACTAGCAAACATGATAATAGTGATCCTGTCCAGTTGAATTTTCACTTAAGTCTCATGCATACGCTACCCATGGCCCTTTATGAATGTACAGGTGCATCTCAATAAATTAGAATGTCGTGGAAAAGTTCATCACGACATTCTAATTTATTGAAATGCACCTGTATAAGTGTACAACTGGAAAACAGTATTTTCAGTTTGTATCAAAGTGCTAATATACACAATAGAGCAACAACAATGATGCAAAACAGTTTACAAAGCTTACATAAAGTCTCAAACATGAATGTAAAACCATTGCATGCTTTAAACAAATAGCTATACAACAGTTGTGCGATGCATCAAGCTTGTAAAGTAAAACCTAGAAGAAACACATGGTTTGAACATGAAAGCTGTTTTCTGGGTTTAAACACTAAACTGCACAGCTCTAGTTCTTAAAGATGTGTAAAGAGATTTGTATCAATATTACAATAATCTATCAAAAGGATTTTGAGTAACATGATGTTAAAGACCAAATATATTCTATAAATCATTTTTTATAAGTTAGATCATTTCAGTGAACATTACCAAACGTGTTTCAAATGTTTTAAAAGGTTATTTTATAGCTTTGTGGAACAAAATCTAAATGCCACATCTTTCAAACAAAGCCACATCCAAACCTGAACAAACATCGAGTGCCGCCAAGAGTCAAATCAAAGCCCTTACTGATAAACAGGCTTGATTTAATCGGGCAGTAAATGGCAGGGCGGCACTAATTTTCAGAGAACGGGCGGCACGCAGATGCTGAGACAGATGCAGTAGCCTGAAAATAGATCTGAGTGACAGACTTCCAATTTAAGTCTAAAAAACTCCACTCATATGCTCAAACTACACTATAGGGAAAAAAGTCGTAATAATAAATAATATATATATATATATATATATTTCTCTGAAACTGCAAATCAGACATCATAGATCTCAATATGAGCTCAAACATTTCTCATCAAATTATTCTAAAACCAAATTACCTAAATTACCAAATGATCACCACTTGTCAGCAGTTCATTTATTTCTATTTTTAGCTATATTTCTTCTATTTATATCTCTCAAGATACTCAAAGAGAAATATCTGAGACAAAGTTGATGATAAGTTAAAGTGAAAATTCCTGAAAACTTTAGGAAGTCTCTTGAGCTATAAAAGAGCAACATCTGAGCACTAACGATCTCATCTGGGTTGACCTACAACACTAAAAGTGTACAATATTCATCATATGTGTTTTTAATATTGACAGTGGCATTGCCAAATATTATTGCTAGGTGCTAGTTTATTTTTACGAAGTGTCAACATCCTGCTGAAAATGAGCTTTGCCATGATACACAAACTTCATAATGCAACATTCATCTCTTATTTATCATTATACCACAGTATGCAAGTACACTAACGCTAAACCTTAGCTGATGTAAAATGTAACCAGCACACAGTAATTTGGCTGGCATGTGACCTTATATTCATATAGAGCACAGAGCAGCTCATGATGTGTACTGTGTCACTGACCAATCATAATCGGGGTGTTTAAGTCGCTATATATAGTCCTTTGGGCAAGACGACAGTCTGCTGGCAAAAAGCTAAGAAAAATGTCAGTGAGATGGATAAAAAGAATCAATGAAAAGGCCACAAATATGCCCTTGTGCTTAAAATAATCCAGGACTTTCTTGTGTGAGAGGATGTCTGATCGTGTCCCTAACACATCTGATGGTTTACACCCTGTGCTGCTTTAAATACTTTGAAATTCTGGGTGTGAAGTTGAAACTGTCTAGGGTTGCCTGTCTATGTTGTGTGCTAGAACAGGAAAACAACTCCACGGATTCTCATGAACTTCAGGAACAAGACAGAAGTCGTCAAAATCACTTCATGGGGTGCGGGGCAAAATATTTATGGGTGGGGTTTCCCTAAAAAAGCCAGTGATTTTCTTAGACTTAGACTTGATGTGTTTTTTTCCCAGTACAAAACATATAAACATTCTTAAATCAAGAGACATTTACCTGAAAAGTGAAGTGACATAAGATAGAAAGTCTTGTTTTCTGATAAATTGACCAAAATAAAGGGGGGTTTATGCTTTAAACAAGACAAAATATCTTCCAATGAGGTAAGAAATATAAACTTAATCCAAAAGGAAAACAAGTTGATTTTTTCTGCCCCATTGGAAATATTTTTTTCTTCTCTCATTTAAGCATAAACTTACTTATTTTTGACAAATCTATCAGAAAACGAGACTTAATAGCTTAAGTCATCTTGCTACTCAAGTAAATGTATATTATTCTACAAATGTTTAGATATTTGTACTAGAAAGAAGAAAAAAAAATACTTTTTGCAGTTTGCCTTTTTAAAGTTGCTTTTAATATGCCTCCATCATCACAGGGACCAGAAAAACATCCCTGGTTGTGACTGATTATGATTTCAGGAGTAGTGGTAGTTGAATAATAAGAGTTTTGGATACGTCAGTCTGAAATCTGTCTTACCTTGGGACCAGCAAGTCCAGGTAGACCAGGTGTCCCAGGTTCACCCTGCAGAGGAAAGAGAATAAAGAAGACCTCCTTTGATTGAAGACTTTTTAAAGACTTTTTTACTTGAATTTAAAACAGAATACTGTAAAATGGGATAAAACTGTTAATGATCACTAATGCACAGCATGAACATTCGTAAGTAGATGATAAAAGCAGATTTCTTACATTCAGTCCAGGTTTTCCAGGTGGTCCCATTTCCCCTGGTTCTCCTGGGATTCCCTATAAGGTCACAATAATTTGCATAAGCAAAAACAATGTTTGGTAATCGTTTCCTGTAATTTTCAAAATATTTAATAGGATGTATTGTTTTTTAACCTTGCTTCCTTGAATTCCCAAGTCATCAAAATCCAATTTGGAAAAGCCACTGCCCTAGAGGAGTTTTTAAAGGGAACCATTTCAGTCATTGTAGTTTTTGCTTACTAAAGAGAAACTTTATGGACATAACCTTTAAACACAACAACAGAAAAAGTAAGATTAAATTATCAGAAAGTTTGAGACTCACTGTTGGTCCTGAAGGCCCTGGTGGTCCCATTTCACCCTATTAAAAGATTGGAGAAAACGAATTATACAAGCCATTATATATTTTTTAATTTTAATGACAATGAAAACCTCAAAATTGACATACTTTGGGTCCTTCCAGCCCTCCCTCCCCTTTTTGTCCTGGTTCACCTGCTTCACCCTGTAAACGGAAGAATAAAATATTAACGTAAAAATTTGAGGCTATCAGAGAATGTTCTTGAGGTTTCACTCACTTTCTCTCCATCTCGACCAGGCTCTCCAGATGCTCCCTTTTCTCCTGGTTTCCCCTGGTGGACAAATTACACACGTCCAAGCCTCATGATGAATACCACAAATAATTCTTTCTGTTGTACTTACAGGTTTACCATCAGGGCCAGGAGGTCCTTCTCTGCCTTTTTCCCCTCTGAAGCCCTGCATTCAAACAATGAGGAGATAAATATGTTTTAATCAGATGTCCAAAACAAGCAAAAGACCTCAGTAAATTTGCCTGTCAATCCATTAGGATGCATAATTTAAAAAATGTCTCACCATAGTCCCAGGTAGACCGGGCAGACCAGGTTTACCACTAGGACAGTCACAACCTTCTACAGCAGGAGAGCGGCCCGAAGGACACTGGGAATACAACACATTGCACGTAAAACCTAAACTAAACCAATCACCAATCAAATTAAACATTTTAAAAAGCAAAAATAGCCAGGCTGGTAACTTACCCTGTCATTATCCTGTAACAAACAGAGAAAAATACATTAAAGTGGGAAGGAAATCACTGGAGGCAGGTAACACGTAATGTTCCTGGATCAACATCCTTGATGGTTCTCGAACAACATTCCTTTTTTTTTTAAACCTTACTGAAAAAAAAGAAACACCATGCTGGTTGACACCAACTAGGATTTGATGGTGAACAGCTTGGCTAGCAAGACCAACAACAAACCAGCAAACCAGTCTTACCACAGAGTAAATTTCACACGCTGTCTCTCTCTCACTTTGCTGGGGATCACAGTAGATCCGTAACTTCTGCAGCACTATCTGATAAAGAAGCACAAGACACAACAGAAATCTTTTGATCTGACCGTTTGTGGAACAATATTGTGGTAGCAAACTATCAGTCTTCTAAGTTTCTCTTAGTTTGGTGCATATGTGACCCTAGACCACAAAACCAGTCATAAGGGTCAATTTTTTATTTGGCAGAGATACAACTATTTGAAAATCTGGAATCTGAGGGTGCAAAAACATCAAAATACTGAAAAAAATCGCCTCTAAATGAAGTTCTTAGCAATGCATATTACTAATCAAAAATTACGTTTTAATATATTTACAGTAGGAAATGTACAAAATATATTCATGGAACATGATCTTTACTTAATATCCTAATGATTTTTGGCATAAAAGAAAAATCAATAATTTTGACCCATACAATGTATTTTTGGCTACTGCTACAAATATACCCCAGCGACTTAAGGCTGGTTTTGTGGTCCTGGGTCACATATAAGCTTGTGATCAGGCAGGTGTCAAAAATAGCGTTGGAGTCACTTACAGGGACTGTAGTCTCAATATTGATTTTCTTGGCGACCTGAGTCTTTCCATTAATGTAGATGGGAACAACTGGATCTAAGAGCTGCTCCTCCACGTATGCGCCATCTACGAAACAAGTGATGCGTTTGTGCTTCACCAGGAACTTCAACTGGTGCCAATCTGTGTCAAAGAGCCTCTATAGAGAGATACATAATCAACACAATGATATTCTTACTGTATAGATATTTGAATAATAACTGCATCCCAAATTACATACTAAATGTATTTACTTTGATGTTGATAGGAATATTTGATGAAAATTAATTTTGGATCAATTTAGCACAGATATCATGTGAATTAGGATGCAGCCAATGTTTTTATTAATTAGATTTAAGAGTGATATAAAAATTTCAGAGACCTTGATGCCTCGGTCATTAAATATGACTGTCTGCTCTTTCTTCAGAGTGCTGGTGCAGGTGAAAGTGGCAGATTTGTCAGCTCCGTTCAAAGTCACGGCGATCTGCTTAACCCCGTCCTGAGACAACACCCTTAACAGGTCGAACTTCATCCAGTGAGCTGGGTTTTTCAAGCGCAAAGTGGCCAGAAACACAAAAGCTGGTGGAAGGCCTTCTGGAAAGATCTCTCTGTGGGGAACATCAGGTGAAGATCAAAGTAGCCTGAATTTTCCGACCACAACAATTCACTCAACATCTCATTTACATCACAGTGACAGAATTCAAACAGTTCAACATGTACAACAACACAAACAATGCAGTACACAAAAATCACCTGGTGTTGTGGGTGATGTTCATACGAGGGCTGAGCTGAGACGCTCTCTCTGATAACAAAGAGCCCTGAACCTTCTGAGCCACCTGCTCAATCTTCATCAGGCTCATTAGATCAAAACCCTTCTGATCGTTCACTGTCCCAGGGATCCGCGTCGGACACACTGATTCTGTGAATGAGAGAACGTAAATCTTCAATTCACAAACACTTTAGTTGCACTTCAGATATGATGCTTTGAATCAAAGCGTGTTTCGATAACCACACAATAGTAACCGAATAAGAAAATGTCTTCTTTTTTTTTTTTATCTGGTTTAATGAGATCTCTTTAAATTCTCAGTTGTTTCTCCTAGACAGCAATGAGATAAAATAGAAAGCAAATGAACTCTTAGATTTCCAGATTCTCTGTTTTTCAGAAGAGATCTCAACAAAGTCTCAAAACTGTGCTCCTATGTGGCAAGACACCAAAGTCTGACTGCAATCAAAAGTCAGAGATCTTAATATGGACTCAAATTCTTTCAAAACCAAATCTGAGCTGCTATCCACATTAATTTTCATTTGTATTGACTCATTTGTATTCATTTTTATTCCTCCTAAGGGAGGAGAAACATCTGAGACTTGTAACTAAAAAGTCTCCCCAATTAGGAAAGAGCCACATTTGAGCAATAAAAAAACAAAAAAAAACAAATTAACATACACTCAATGAAACAACTGAAAATAGAAGCCAGTGCTTAACTACACTCTTAAAAATAAAGGTGCTTCACGATGCCATAGAAGAACCTTTTTGTCTAAATGGTTCCATAAAGAACCTTTAACATCTGAAGAACCTTTCTGTTTCACAAAAGGTTCTTTGTGGTGAAAGAAGGTTCTTCAGATTATAAAAAGGTAAGAAGGAGATGGTTCTTTAAAGAACCTTTAACATCTGAAGGGCCTTTCTGTTTCACAAAAGGTTCTTTGTGGCGAAATAAGGTTCTTCAGATTACAAAAAGGTAAGAAAGAGATGGTTCTTTAAAGAACTTTTGACTGAATGGTTCTTTGTGGAACCAAAAATGGTTCTTCTATGGCATCGCTTGAAGAACCTTTTGAAGCACCTTTATTTTTAAGAGTGTATGTAGCATTAAATAGACACTAGTCCAAAGACAGAATGGTCTGTAAGTATCTTGTCACATGATATTCTTTGATGAGTCATGGCAAATGATGACCAACAGTTTATCTTCGGGATTAAACAGATGCATTGGGCCCCAAAGTTTACATCCATGTAATGTCTTTAATGTCACTGGTTACAGAGAAAAATATGCTCCAAAGTCTAGGGCGACTCACCCTCACACAGTTTCTGCTCCATCAGGTCCCAAATGCTTGCAATGGATTTATAGTCCTCCACGTGCAGCACGTACGTAGAAGGTGGCTTGTTGGCCATAGACACCAATTCAGAGTTAGTGATCTCATTTCCCACACCGACTGCAAACAGAACAATATTCTGTGCTCTGGCCTCCATGGCAGCATCCTCAACATCATCCTGCGAGCGCCCATCGGTGAGAACCACGGCGATGCGGTTTCTGGGAGACTGGGATGTGCGGTTAGGCATCCCGAAGACGTGGTCTGTGGCAAACTTGATGGCACGGCCGGTCCGTGTGTTGCCCCCCAGGTACAAGATGGAGGTGATTGCCTCGATGAGTTCTTGGTTGTTCTGATGCTTTCCCAGAGGAATCTCCAGTCGGGGGGTGTCACTGTACTGGACGACTGCCACCTGAGTGTGCCTGGTGCTCACGTCAAAGCCACTGGTGATGTTGATGAGCCAGCGCTTGGCGGTTTCAAAATTAGGGATCCCCAAGCTCGAGGAGCCATCGATGATGAACGCAAGGTCATTGGGAGTTGTGCTACAATCTGCAAGCCCAGGAAAACATTTGCCCACAGTTGTCCACATGCAGACCAAGTTTTGTTACAATTGCTATAAAAATGTAGAGTGAAGTCAGGTACATTTGTCCACTTTTTGACTGGCATCTCAACCAATTGCTCAATTTACCTGAATTCACCCTACAGTGTCAACACAAAAATGACGGAATAAGTATTACTGAAGTCATTTTCTCAAGTATATTCATTTACATTTATGCACCTGGCAGATGTATTAATTCCAAAGTGACTTACATTTCATTTAAGGCATACATTTGATCTGTCCATGCATTTCCTGATAATTGAACCCATGACCTACTGTTTGAGCTACAGTAATGCCTCAGGAGTGTTGCTTTAATGCAGATTTATACTGTTAACATGTTCCATAATTTAAACCATTTGACTAATATATTATAAAGTATATGGCTAAGAAAAAGATGCCAAACCAGCTTGAGTGTCCTCTTGTTGGAATCCACTGATGTGCAGCAACAAAACACAAACAATCAGTGAAGAAAACATCCATGTCCACATGGTATGGCAACAAAAAGCCAAGCAGCAGTTAGAAAATGCCTGGGAAAAAAATTAATTTTGTGTAAAATTTCTACATCTACACACACACACACACACACACACACACATATATATATATATATATATATGACAACACCATGGTATTTTAATACATACCATGGTACTGTTTGATAAGTAAGTTATTTGAACACATGCATCCAAAACATGGTGTTAGCATGATTTTCCATGGTATATTTTATAATACCATGGCCCTTAGAAAAGTTAAATTGAGACAACATCAAATATTCCTATAAAGAATAAAAAAAAAACATAATAAGCCATTCTCTCACCAGCAATGTGAATTCTGGATATCCACGAGTTTAAACAGAGACTTTCCACCAATAGGTTACAAGACAACAGCTAAAAATGCTCTCATTACTGACATGAATTACAGTACAGTGCTGCAGAAACAGTGCACAGTGGTAAGATACAGCCAAAGACTATTTTATATCTGCACCAGTGACGTACAGCCTTTCCTGGGCAGAATGAAAGAGCGACAGGCATCAGAGAGAGGGAGGAGTATGGGTTTAACCCTCCACAAAACATTCTTCAAAGAAAGTCAAGCCAAATGGCTCTGAGCCTCCAAACCCAAGGCCCATTCCACAAATAGCGCAGTCCAAAACATCTTTATTTTCTCTGCCATCATGTATTGAGCTATTTAGAAGAGTCCATTGACATTACATTAACATCATGTCTGTGCAATGTCTTTTGTGTTACAGTAAAGACTATGCCTTTATTCCTCCAGTAGCACATAGCTTGTTTCCATCCGTTTAGGCCAGATACTTAAACACAGATGTTCTGAATCCTAATACTGTGAAATAACTCCTCAGGGACCACCGTCGTTCTTCATTGGCCTGTTTATGAATAAAAAGATGTTCAGAAAGAAAGTAACACATCCAACCACATTAGTACCTGAGGAAGGAATAACCTGTGAGTTGCTTTGCTAAACGTCCCTGTGTATATATTTATACACCACAGACTTGTACACATATCTGCTGTTCAAACACATTTATATATTAGCACAGCTATTTTGGATCAAAGGTGGGCCCTTCCAGGTACCAGAGGAATCACATTAGTCAAATAAGTGAACTGAAGCATGTGAGTTTAGTTTAATGGTGTGTCAGTGTTTTTAATATGATGTAATGGTGCTAAAATACAATGCATTTGTTGTGTGGAGGATCTGAGGTGGAAAAGCAATGGGAATAAAAGCAGTATGCATCTCAAGAATGGGGAATGTTTCTGCTTGTCCTAATATATGAAAGGAAATGGTGGTATTGGGGAGGTTGGTTATGATATTTGCAGAGAACATGTTGAAATATGCACATCATGTCACGGATATACAATGCGGCCCTCTGGTGGATACAATGGTCTTTACACTGAGTACAACTAATCAGAGGCTCGGGGACCTCTAGTGGTTCGTGATGGTATTGCAATTGGTTCACCAGTTTAAATAAAAAATGTTTCCCTATTTTTTACTCAAATAAATTGAAAAGTGCATAAACATATCCTAGAAATAATATAGACTCACATGAGATACATACTTCCTCTTGTCATGACGTCATCAGTTGTAGGCCAACATTAACTCGCCATTGGTTCCTCCGGGGTTTTTGATTTTATTAATTTTTTTATTTTTTCCTTCGGGGTTTTCGGTTTTTAAGTCAAACACAGTCATTGAAGCTACTGTATTTTTTAAAGGACAACAATGTTTGTCAGATTCATCAAACACTAACTCACACCCTTTAGGTAAAGTCCTTATTTAGCAGCTTATTAGGATGTTATCTGTAATAATTTGTTACATATTGAGCTTTTTATGTGTAAAAAAACAAAAAACAAAAAAAAAGGTCAGTAGAAAGATGTATTAATGAGCGTGCACCGTCTCTTATTATTGGACTATATAATTTGGCGGAAGAGTTAGTTTATCGTGGGTAAGCAAATGTAATTAAATGAACACTGGTGTCTTTTATCATATTTCTACAACAGTCATTTTCAGTGTTGGGGGTAACTCGTTACGAGTAACGCGAGTTACGTAATCAGATTACTTTTTTCAAGTATCTAGTAAAGTAACGCATTACTTTTTTAATTTACAAGAAAATATCTGAGTTACTTTTTCAAAAAAGTAATGCCAGTTACTTTGTTTTCTCATTTATTGACTGACAAATAAAAAGCACAAGGCCACCCGAGTAGGCCTATATGATTATAACACAGTTAAACCCTTTCATATATTTCGTGCCATATTGAATTAGTTATGGTATTATTTAAACCTATTTTCTGTAATTTATATATTCGATATATTTTGTCAGTTGAATTACCCATAAAATTATAAATTCGAGCTGGTGAGTTTAGGACCCTGCGGCTCATATGAGGAGTGGGCGGAGTCACGGATGATTGACAGGATATTCTGGAGGCACGGCAGGCGAGTAATCTGGCAAATTGACCTCAGCCACACCGTCAGCCTACAGACGGCGAATTTTGAACGAAATTTCGCCCTAAATCGGGAATTTCATCGCGTTTTGATGCCGAAATATTGCCCAGAAAGTACCATCCATGGACTTCCATCTCTGATGTTCGTGTTTGAGAGCTGATAATGATGAAGATGAAGCTGCGAGCGGCGGGAGGCGAAAATCACCGAGGCGACTTGAATTCCGTTAACGGATCCGATCGGGAGAGCGGCACTGGAGCGGCTCAGCTCGATAAGGAGGCGGTGTTCGAGTGGTTCGGCTTACAGCTGAACCCATCCGGACGCGTGGAGCTGCTTTGCGGGCTGCTGCATATGTGTCAGCCGCTGGAGCTACGCTTCCTCGGCGCCTGTCTGGAGGATTTGGCCCGGAGAGATTTCACCGTCCTGCGAGATTATGAAATCCGGGCCAACTGCCCCGCTGATCTGGAGGGGCTGGTGGACGTAAGCGACCCCGTTGTGCTGTCCAAACTGCTCGTTTATTTGTCTTTGCTCGGATCCAAGAGCAGGGAATGCGCCGGGATTCTCTTCCGGACGTTGAGTCGAATGGACGCCGGGATGTGCGGCGCTCTACCGGAGCCGGAGACTGTGGATCAGCTGCGGCTGCTCTTCACGATGGGATCGTTACACCCGGCGTTCAGTTTCTATCAGCGGGAAGAGCTGCGAGCGCAGTTGGATAGACTCCAAAGATGGGTGTGTTATACTAACATTAACATTATACTAACACATGTGGCAGAAATGCCATGGTAATTTAATATTTTGCACACGTACCCTAAAATATCATATGAATACCATGGTATTCTTGGGAGTACCACCCTTACAGAATAGTCCTATGACGGTACCATGGTACAATGATGGTATCGAATACATTACAGGAATATTATTATGGTACCTTTTCATGTATTGGCTGAAGTCCCTGATAAAAATGACCAAAAGCACCATGGTATTATCATGTTTTTTGGATGTGCACTATGCTAATGCCATGTTATAATAATAAAAAAAATACTTGGAGTAGCATATAAATGGTTTTCTGAATATCATATTCATATTGCCAAATGAACATAGCAATACCATGGTATTCTTGGGCGAATACCACCTTTACAGAAAAGTCCTGGCACAGGACCATGATACATTGAAGGTATCAGCCCTTATGAAAATTAACCATGGTTTTACTATAGTAAAAGTGTAGCAACCATGGTTTTTTGTGCGGATTGATTACCAGTTTTACTACAAATACCATGGTTAAAATATGGTTAGTGAAGCAAAACCATTGTTAATTTGTGGTTACCATGGTTTAACTATAGTAACCATGTTTTTGTGGTTTTATTTGTAGTAAAACCATGGATAATTTTCGTAAGGGAGATGATAAAACCATGGTATTTACATGGCACTCCAGGGATATTATGGTTCTACTATGATACATGTCCAAAAGTATGGTAGTACTATAGTACCTTTTCATGTATTGGCTAAAGTCACTAATAAAAATGACCCAAAAAAATCATATACCATGGTATTTACATGTTAGTCTATGGAATATTATTATGGTTATGGACCGTGTCCAAAATATGGTAGTACTTTTCATGTGATGGCTTAAGTCACAAAAAAATGACCAAAGTCACCATGGTATTACATTTTTGTTTGGATCTTTAATACATGGTATTCTTTGAAATTCTCGGAGTATCATATAAATACCATGGCAAACATTCAGCAAGAGTAGAAATTCAAAGTCACTAATAAAAAGTACAGTAGTATTTGAACATGTCATTCTAATACCATGGTATATATCAAAATACCATGGTGTTACCTTGTGATACAATCAGTGTTCCATAGCACCACCACTTGAACTGGTAAATGAACATGAATAACCTCAAGTCAAAAAGGAATGTGTGCTGGATCCCTGTTGGAATTTCTATCATACTTTTGAATCAATCCTAAAGGATCCCAATTGGAATAAGAAACAAATAAGATCCTACTGGATAAACTGAAATCCATACAAAATATTTGGATTATTTATTTTTTTAAAGAGTCTCATTGGATATTGCTTATAAGTTCTTTAAATGTCATGTCCTGAAATGATGTCATACTATTGGTCAGTTAAAGGAATCGCATGGCAGCTGCAGATGTTCCTGTAGGATTTTTTCAATTTTATGTCCAACAGGTGGATGTTCTTATCTTGTCAGGAATTGTTTGGAACTGAGTTCTTAAAGGGGTCATATGATGTTGCTAAAAAGAACATTATTTTGACTAAAGCGGTGCGAAAGGCCTTACTAGTGTTGTCAAAAGACCCGGTACTTCGGTACCAAGTCGGTACTAAAAAACGAAAATGTTACGGTACCAGGTTTTTTTAAGTACCGGTGGTACCGAGTACCTGGTCAACCCGGTTCTTGATGCGCTATCCGATAGGTGCGCAGATGCGCTCTCTTTATAAAAGCACTGAGACGTGGCGACATCAAAACGAGGAAACACACCAGACTAACAAAACACTTTAAAGACAGACACCCAGATCAAATGAAAGAAAAAGAGTTCAAGCAGGTAAGTTTCATTAAAAAAATTTATATTTAGATATTCTCAGTAGGGATGTAACGATTCACTCAACTCACAATTCGATTAACGATTTAGATTTCTCGATTCGATTCACTTTTTTTTCTTTTTTTTTTTCTTTTTTTTTACAAATTATAAATAAATGTGTCCTTTTTATTATTTCTTGGACAAAATGCTGCATGTTTCTTTGTGAAATTGAAATATAACACTATAATATACTAATACAGCACTTGTATATTATTGCTCTTTTGTTGGTTTTGATTGCTTCTGTTGTCCTCATTTGTAAGTCGCTTTGGATAAAAGCCTCTGCTAAATAACAAAATTTAAATATAATGTAAATGTAAATAACAAAATTTAATTAACATTTTAAAACCAGCCCCAAATCAAATAAATAACACAAATAAAATAAATATCTTCATATAAACAAAATAAGGCTTAGTCTGTGCTCTTTCCATTTAAAATTAGAGGCAATCATTTCCAAACAATGATATAATTATGCTTAATAATCATTAAACATAATAATAATCATTATCCAAACAAAGATGCTGCATACATGCCACATGAGGATTTTTATCTAAATTACATTGTATAATTTCTAAATTTGAAGCAAAAACAGATTGATTTGACTTCAGTTTTGTGAAACTATACATAAAAAATATCTGCATGAAACCGAAACAGCAGACGAGCTGAATGAGATGCAGATTCACTCTCTGCCAGCAGGTCGCGCTTAAAGCGTTTCCTTAGTTTCCGCTGTAAACAAAGCAGCGCTGCACTTATGAACTTTAATATGCATTATACAGAGGCAAGATGAAAAGAAAAAATACCATCTAAACTTTTCTAAAGACAGTAAGTTCCCCTCAGACATGCATTCATATAAACTCCTACCCCTAAATGAATCGCGATTTGTTTAGCATCTCAACCGATTTGAATCGTCACGTATTTGAATCGATTTTCAACCGGCTCGCGGTTAATCGTTACATCCCTAATTCTCAGTGTTTCCCATATCGATTTATTTGTGGCGGCCCGCACCACAATATCAAAACTGACCGCCACAAATAGATTTTCCAAAAGGCTTTGACGTCGTTGAATAAACATGAGCACTGCACGTGTCAAAGTTGAAGCCCGGTGCGGGTGTTTGTATATCACTGTATTTCTGAAGGAAACCGACTGTCTTCAGAAAATTATGGATGTCATTTCATCTTGCCTGTAATGCCTGAGCAGCGTTTGTGAGAGCAGCGCTTATTTGATTACAGCCGTTACCGGAGAAACCTGATCTCTCCCGCTCTACAAGAGCCTCCTGCTGGCAGAGAATGAGTTTGCATATATATGCCGCCACAAATACAGTGTAAGTCTGTGAAACACTGATAGTTTTACTCAAATGAAACTGTCAGAAACCTGATCTCTCCCGCTCTACAAGAGCCTCCTGCTGGCAGAGAATGAGTTTGCATATATATGCCGCCACAATAGAGTGCAAGTCTGAGGGAAACACCGCTTCTGTTCTGAATATTATTCAATATTTTAATTTGAATGTTGGATTGAAATGAACGCTGTTATTAGAGTAGTTATTCGTTAGCATAAGCGTGGCTAAAGCTAGTATAATGAGCATTAGAATGAAGTTTCTTTATTAACTATTTAATGCTCCTATAACTTTTATTAGGGTTAAAAAACAGGAGGACATGATGATATTTTACTATTTTTACACACCAGAGGCTTTTAAATTAATTGTGAATCTAAAATATGTGCGTTAGAGAATGTACAAATTAGGGCTGGACAATAATTCGATATCAATATGTATCGCGATATAATTTTTTTCAATAACGGTGATATGATTTTTATTAGTACCGAATACTGAAATTTTGGTACCGTGACAACACTAATAATGACTTATACTGTCTTTTTACGCGTTGCGTTGCATCGCGCCGCGTAAACATAAAACCATGTCTGCATTTGTGATCAGAGAAATGACAAACAACAAGCGCTACTCTACACTGCCCAAAACTCGTGTTTGAATCATCAGTGGCACATTCTTTAAATTTGAAAACATACTTACAGTCTGTGAGTCAGAACAGCCGGCATTGTAGTCTACTCTCCCAGGATCAGGAAACAGTCCTCCATAAAATGCGCTGCACACATCTGAATATTTGGGTTGAACTGTTCTGGAACAGTGTTGTAAATACAACTTAAAGGCGCAATATGTAATTTTTCCTCCGCTAAAGGGTGCGTATTCAAAATAAACAAAGAAGCAAAGGCATAGTTTGATGACGCCATGACTGAGTGTGGAATCATGGGAGTTGTGGTCTTCATCCCCCACAGCCGATGCAATCCGACGGGACTCGGGCAGAAATCATGTTCATGGATGAGCTAATGATTTATTAACATAGTAGAATGAAGCAGGGTGAGGCTGAAAGCCATCGAAGCGAAACGAGGCTGCTGAACGAGCGTGACACACGGCTCAAAAGCAGCGGAGCTTTTATTATGCCACAGTCGACCGCTTCCGGTTGTGAGTATGTGGGGAAAAAAGCAGCGCTCTTTTATCATACTAGATACGTTTGAAAGTTCTGTTATAATGCTACTCTGTACGGTCGTCACCAGTCTAATAAAACGCATAACATATTAAAGCGTCTTTGGTGTTTCCATGTTTTCTACAAAACAAAACCGGAAATCGAGGGGTTATGATGTCATTGGCAGGCGACACAATGTCACAATGGGCACGGTCCGTGTCACTAGTTAAAATTGCTTATTTCTCTGGATTTAAACATTCTTCGAAACATTTGGTATAATGTAAGTACACAAGTCAGCAAAATAAATAACACCGTTCTAGTGGTTTTTGGATATTTTAATAAAAAAATC